CTAAAACTTCCAGGAAATCTCCACCAATGAAGCAAAGAAAAAAAAATGCCTCTATTATTCTGTGAGCAACAAACCAAACTGAGTTGGTGTCTCATACAATTTGCTCATATGATTGCAAAGACAGACAGAAACTCCCGGATTGGAGAGGGCTCCCCTGAGGGCTCCCAGATTGGAGAGGTTGCAGGTTGGGCTGAGGGACGCCCACACCCCCCAGTGCATGAATGTCATGCACCTGGCCTCTAGTATTTTATAAAATCAAATGTTATACAAAAATTTGTCTTAAAGGATTTATTTATTTATAATATATTTGATAAGTTACTAGATACCTTTTATTTTACTCAAACAAAACTATATGTAAAGACATTTTGAAAGCTATAAAATACCATATAAATGTGAATTGAGAAAATTAATTCCCATTTAGTCAACGGTTATGATTTTTATGATGTGAGTATAATTCACCAAGCTAGTTGCCTTAAATGCTTTCTGAAAAAAGGTAGGGAATGAACAAATAAATAGAGTAAATCAGTCATCAAGTATTCTGCTGAATGTCAGCCCCTACCTTACCTCGCCACCACACATACATGTTGATATCATATGAATAAGTTGATAGAAATTAGATACACTTACAACACCAAAATATATGCTAAGGTTCAATGTTTTACTTCTTTATGAGAGCCATTTTTGTTTAAATATATGGAAAATGACCCACCTACTCAGTAATAAAATGGCAATAAAAAACTGAATTTTTTTCTAACTCCCATAATCCTGGATCCCCATTCTAAACTCTGCCTCACTAAGCTATGTTCTTCTTCCTATTTTGTTAACACCACTACCGGATTATAGGCTTAGTATCAACTTTAACTATGATATGAAGGGAAAATGATAAAGGAGATAAAACTTTTAAAATGTGTATTTGCAAAAAAAATTCATTAAGATGGGAAAGAAGGAGGAGGAGGAGGAGGAGGGGAAGGAAAAGAAGAGCAAAACTATAGGGGAAGAAATTGAAATGTACTTCAATGTTCATTGTATTTTGGATTAATTCATGGCAGTCTTCCTAGCAATATACCTAACTCAGCATGTATTTATTATATTCTAAGACTAAAACTAGATCAATTCTGGAAAATACTCTTTTCCAAACTAAATGCATTGTGTTATGAAGATGGATCAATGACCTAGCTTAGGGGTCTTTTGCCAGTGCTGTGAAGTTTGGGCTAGTGTTGAAAAAAACATTCAAGTATATTAACAATTAAATAGCTTTTAGGGAGCTGGGGTTATTTGAGAATTTTTTTAAAACACTTAAATAAAAAAAGTTTTACTAAATTAAAATAATTTTCCTTTAAGACATTTACTCATACAATGTTTTATAACATTGAAAGTGCCTAGCATTTACTTAGAATTTATGATTTAAAAATTGTTTTTATATTGCAATTTTGGCATAATAGACTTGATTTCGGCTCAGTGCATTGGTGGACATGGCATGTCACATGCAAGCTTCTTGTTCCTGGTTTTCAGCTGCTCTGAAGGATGACTGACTCATTTATTCAAGTTGTCCCAAGGAATTCCAAAGCAAGTTCTATATATACCTCATGGCCTATATTTTAAGTCAGACCCTCCTAAATATAACTTATACAAATATGTTAAAAATCCATCTGATCTTTCAGATGCAATAACAAATTAAGCAGATAAAGGTTAGAGTTTCCAAGCATATGAAGGCATAGTCTGTGAAAATAAGCAGCAATTTCTTCCATTAGGAATTAGCAAGAGCAAATAAAGCTTCAAGTGGGAGTTCTGAGAAATCTGCAGAAATTGGACAGCTATAATATTGTTGTATAAGCAATAATGGTTTTAGCAAAGAAAATTTTAATTTTCTTCTCTGATGAATTTGTTTTAATTTGTCTTGTCTTTAATTTAAACCAAAAATAAGAGATGAGTCATTTTTCCATAATGGTGTCAGTGTAATCTTACATAGGACAGGATACCTTTTTGAGCTTTATGAACCATGTTAATACTCCTAAGGAAGGTCTGCGGAAACTGTTTCTATGGGTATTTTTTAATGAGTAGATGGCTTTAGTGTTTTAGCATTTAAATATATTCCACCCTAGAAGTTACGGACTTGGACATCAGTTTTTCTCATAGCCAGATATGGTTATCACATGAATGTGTAACAATGTACCGATTTTAACATTTACTTCAAGGTGAAGGTTATGGCAGTGCAGTTTTGGGAGATTAGATGTTTCTCCTTAATCTTTAAAAATATATTTATTTTGTTCATTGTATGCTACAAAGAATTGATCTATTTATATTTAGTTCAATGTTCATTTTTAGCAAAATAAAGATAGCAATGACCTAATGGTTTAAAATAAGGAATGAGATTAAATTATGGTACAGCCTTACTATATAGCTATAAAAGTCATGCTTTAGAATGTAGTGAATAGTATGATAAAATTATAATCATTAAAAATAAAAAGTAGATTACATATTGGTGTTATATATAGTACAAATCTAATTTAGTTTGAAAAAATTGTATGTACATACACATATTCAGGAATTACTGGAAAGTGGTCATCTCTGAAATGTTTTTTCTTTGTGTGTTCCTGTATTTTATAAACTAACTGCAATGAACAAGTTTTACTTACTTAAAAAATATATTTTTATTGATCTCAGAGAGGAAGGGAGAGGGAGAGAGAAACATCAATGATAGAGAGTCATTGATTGGCTGCCTCCTGCACCCCACTACTGGGGATTGAGTCTGCAACCCAGGCATGTGCCCTTGACCAGAATCCACCCCGGAACCCTTCAGTCCACATGCCGACCCTCTATCCACTGAGCCAAACCGGCTAGGGCAAATTTTACTTTTGCAATGAAAAACATAATAAACATGTTAGATGAAACATATCTCTACCTTGATCTGCTTTTTTTGTAATAGGTGAAATTATATTTGAAGATCAGCCAAAGAGATTTTTCCAAGGCAAAACCAATGTGTTTTCTTCTGAAACTACCCAGCTGTCTGATATAAATATGTGGTGAGTCTTTGTTTTAAAAATATTTTTATTGATTTTAGAGAGCAAGGAAGAGGAAGAGAGAGAAACATCAATGATGAGAGAGAATCATTCATCAGCTGCCTCCTGCACACCCCACACTGGGGATCGAGCCCACAACTTGGGCATTGCCTGACCAGGAATTGACCTCCTGGTTCATAGGTCGATGCTCAACCACTGACCCATGCTGGCCGGGCTGTGGTGAGTCTTAACATGAGGTTTTAAATATTCAGCGGCCATTTTCACTTAATTTTAAGCCTACTTAGCTATTGTATATATTCACAAGTATGGTATATTATTAAATATAAAATATTTTTAGAAGTTATAAAACTAATATCCCCAAAAAACCCATTAATATCCCAAATGGATAATATTAACTTGAGTTCTCCTCCCTAGCACTTATATGTGACATTAATCACTGGTATTAAATTAAGAGGTATTAGAGAAAGACATAAAAATGCAAGGTTGGAAAAAAGTAATCTTCTGCCCATCATTTCTACCTTGGATTTTTGTGTGTCTTGTTAGATGGAGGATATTATTGAAAAATGTGCTGAAAAAGCATGTTTTAATCATCAAAATGAGAAATTCAATGAATGGATATTTATTTATTGTTACTATTGGTTTGTTTTGCTACTCTTGTGAAATTGCTCTTATAAATAGTGCCATTTCTTTGCTTCATATTTTGCATTCATTTGTAGACAAGGCAGAGTACACAGAGGGCTTTTGAATTCTTTTTGTTGTTGTTGTTGTTCTTAATCCTCACCCAAGAATATTTTTCCATTGATTTTTAGAGAGAGTGGAAGGGATGGAAGGAGGGAGAAAGAGAGAAACATTGATGTGAGAAAGACACATCACTTGGTTGCCTCCCGCACGAGCCCCAACCAGGGCCGGGGATCAAACCTGCAACCCAGGTACATGACAGGGAACCGAACCCACGATGCTTCAGTCCAAGGGCTGATGTTCCAATCATTTTGCAAAACTGGCAAGGGCTTGAATTCTTTTATCAAAAAGTGGCATTTTCTTCTTCTAGTCTATCATTTCTTCAGACACTCTTGATGGAAACAACCGCAGTATAAGATCTCCTTGTAATTCACTGGCTAAAATCAGCCCTGTCACAAACTCTCCTGTGTCGCCTGCTGATTCTAGTTCTCCATATATTATAGTTGATGAACTTTCAACTAAGTGATTCACCCATCCCAAGACTTTCTCACCATTGGAGAAACACATGTAGGCATTCTCTTGCTGGTGTACTCCATCTCTCTCTCTCTCTCTCTCTCACACACACACACACAAAGTTGTAGCAATAACATAGTTGTATAGTATAATTTATATTATTTCCTATTCATTTTCCCCTAAAATTCTGTTTATTTATAGAACTTGAATGTCTATGTCCTGTGTATGCCCTTAAAAGTAATGTAGTAATATTTTCAAAGATATTTTTCAAATAAGAACTATGTTGAAGATACAGTTATACGTTTTCAAGTTGCTAATATATAGAAGCATGCTGAACAATTGTTAAAAACAATTGAGAGCTCTATTTATTTATGTGAATACATAAATAAAATTGTGTCTTGATGGAATATTAATGTTAAAATGATTTTTTAAGATTATATACTGAATGTCCATGTTACTTTTTAATATTTTCAGTAATTGCTAGTTTCCACTTGGTTTGGAAAAATCAGCTACTGCAAGATGTTTTTAAAACTAAGCTAGTTGTAGCATACTAATCCAAGGATTGCCTATTTTACACATGGATCCTTGGATACTTAATTTCTTGGGAAGCAATAATGGAAGCAAGATGAATAAAAGCTAGTTGACATTTGACCCGGTAATTCCACTTCTAGGAATATATCCCAAGAAATCATAAACATCAATCAGAAATAATATATGCACCCCTATGTTTATAGCAGCACAATTTACAATAGCTAAGATTTGGAAACAGCCTAATTGCCCATCAGCAGATGAGTGGATTAAAAAACAGTAATACATCTACACAATGGAATACTATGCTTCTATAAAAAAGAAAGAACTCCTTCCATTTGCAACAGCATTGATGAACCTGGAGAGCATTATGCTAAGTGAAATAAGGCAGTCCAAGAAAGATAAGTATCACATGATCTCACTCATCTGTGGAAAATAATGAACAACACAAACTGATGAACAAAAATAGATACAGACACATAGAAGCATAGAACAGACCATCAAACCTCAGAGGGGAGGGTGGGAGGGGGGTAAGAGATCAACCAAAGGACTTGTATGCATGCATATCAGCATAGCCAATGGACACAAGACAGTAGGTGGGTGAGGGCCTGTGCTGGGGGGTGGGTGGGGAGAGGTCAATGAGGGAAAAAGGAGACATATGTAATACTTTCAACAATAAAGAATTTAAATTTAAAAAGCTAATTGATAGGAAGAAAATAATATGTAATTGAGGCTTCATTCAATTTGTACTTTACCTGATTATCCCTGATCAATTTTATATTCTAATTAAGTGTGGAAAAAAGACAATGTCGATAAATTGTGGTCTTTCACATTTCTATAAATAGTATTTTACTCATCATCATGACTACTGATTTGATTAAATAGAGACTTAATATGCTAGGGCTTTTCTGCAAGAATTATGTTCTTTTAGTTGTTCCCTAAGGGCTATAAATATTTGTTTAAGCCCCAGTTTTCTAATCAAAAGTCTAAAGGTGTTTTTTAAATAAGAAAAATCATGTGTTAAAAAATTTAAATCTAGCCCTGGCTGGTTTGGCTCAATGGATAGAGCGTCGGCCTGCGGACTGTAGGGTCCCGGGTTCGATTCCGGTCAAGGGCACGTGCCCGGGATGTGGGCTTGATCCCCAGTAGGGGGCGTGCAGGACGCAGCTGATCGATGTGTCTCTCTCATCGATGTTTCTAACTCTCTATCCCTCTCCCTTCCTCTCTGTAAAAAATCA